TGGTCACTATACAGAAAATTTCTCAGTTAATCCCAGCATTCTAAAATTGGCAACGGAGGGGGCAAAATCTCTATGGGAACGGTTCACCAGATCTTATAGTTTTGCTAGTATTCCACAAGATTCACCTTGTACTTGGGGAATCTGAATAATTCCCTCTAGTTTCCCAAAGACTGATTGAGACAGAGCTAGAACATTTTACCAGAGACTCAGAAATAACAGTGGACTAGATATTAAGACTAATGTTGATTTGTTCTCTGGGTCACTACCATCCTAATTGCTGGATTGTCTTCATAAGTGACCAAGGTGGGATGTAGAGAGCAAGGGAGCAAAAGCCACAGAACTGGGAGAGAATTTCTTTCTGCCTAAGATAAAACTTTAAGCTGGAATTTCCTTCTGAGGTCTTGCTCTTTCCTGAGATTTGGCTCTCCCTTTGGGTATACTTGCCTTCCTATTGCCAGGCTTCTGACCTGACCTGACTCTGTGTCAATAACAGGATAATCGTAGTAGAAATGAGTTTTTTGTTGTTGTTTTTTAAAAAAATATATCTTTATTGATTTCAGAGAGATAAGGGAGAGGGAGAGAGAGAGAGAAACATCAATGATGAGCGAATCATTGATCGGCTGCCTCCTGCACTCTCCCTGCTGGGGAGGGAACCTGCAACCTGGACATGTGCCCTGACCGAGAATCGAACTGAGATCTCCTGGATCATAGGTCAATGCTCAACTGCTAAGCCATGCTGGACAGGCTGTTGTTTTTAAAAATATAGTCAACTATAAAAACTATAAATAGCTAACAGGTATTATTTATTTATTTATTTATTTATTTATTTATTTATTTATTTATTTATTTTTAAAATTGATTTTTAGAGAGAGAGAGACATTGATGTGAGAGAGAAAGATCAATTGGTTGCCTCCTGTATGCACCCTGACTGGGGATCGAGCCTGCAAGTTTTTAGTGTATGGGATGACGCTCCAACTGAACCACACCAGCCAGGGCTATCATTTATTTCATGTTTACTGTGTGCTGTTCTAAATGCACTGTTCTTTTTTATATATATTATTTAGTTTAATCCTCCCAATAATTCTGTAAGATAGATTCAATACTATTGTTACCCCATTTTTCAGAAGTGAAAACTGATTCCAGAGGGGTTAAGTAGCTCACACTAAGGCACACCCTCCTAGCACGAAGCCTGAAATCAAACCCAGGCAGTCTGACTTAAGACCCTGACTGACACTATAGTATTTCATCCTTGAAGAGAAACAATGGAATGTGATGCCATATTTCTTTGCTAGTCAGATAATGGCTGGAGTGGAAGTTACTATCCAGACTTACGTATAGATTTTCTGGTCATTTGAATTACTGAGGAAATGGAATAAGACTTTACGGTTGTCACAGTATCATTGCATCAGGTATCTATTGCTATGTAATAAAGAACCACAAATTATCATGGCATACAATAATAGATATTTATTTGCATGAATGTATGGATTTGCTGAGTATTGGATGATATAAACTGGATTTAGTTGGCTGTCTCTGGACTTGGCTGCTTACTCAGGACTCAGACTAAAGAGGCAGTGACTTCCCTGACAAAACTCTTCCTACGGCTACAGCAAAGGAACAAGAAAGCAAGCCCAATTGTTCAAGTGCCTTTCAATCATTGGTTGTATGATGCCTTCTGATATTCCATTAACCAAGCAAGCCACATGGTCAAGCCCAAAGTCAAGGGACAGGAAAGTATACTTTGCCCATAGAAGGAATGTCTATTGTACTAGGGACACTGTTTTATCAAGATCAGGGGGCACAAACCTACAGAGCCTTTACATGCTAATTGAGGTAGGCCAAGTTCTTGAGTATGTCTAGGAGTTGAGAGGAAAATTAGACAGTCACATCTACTGGCAACCCAACCAGATTTGTGGAATCAGGGACTTTTATCAAGGGCAGGGTATATTTTCGGGGGGAGATAGTGATAAGGGGTCTGGGTGCACATACTCTAGGGAGATCCAGACAGGCAGACAGCACCAGTGAGTACTAAAAACAGGAGACAAGGCCCATGTTTCAAGTTTGTTCTCATAACTGGAACTGGAATACCCAGCAAGGAACTAAAGAATTCATTCAATTCATTCATTCATCTAACCTGTGTTTATTAATGCTCACTGCAGTAGTCCTATACTTTACTATGCATAAGAATTATTGGAGAGCATGTTAAAACCTAGTGCAGACTCACAGCTCCTCTTCTTCCACTTAGTTTGGTAGGCCTCAAGAATCTATATGTTTAACAAGCATCCCATTGTTTCTGATGCATATATTTCTTTGATCATGCTTTGACAAAATGTCTAGTCCTCTGTGTCCTGGCCAGTGTGCCAACAAAGAGGGAGTGGGGGAAATATCGTGACTAGAACCTTGTACATGGGAAACAGCAAAAAGAAGCTGAGTTAACTGGAATCAGAAGTGAAGGCAGGACCACCTCCCTTTAGTTTTATCTTTTTGAGAATGTCATATAAATGGAATCATACAATATGTAATCTTTTGTTACTGACTTTGACTCATTTTGTAATATGTAAGTATTAAATCAACATGTTGTACACCTTAAACTTGCACAATGTCAGTTTTATCTCCGTAATGCTAGAAAAAAGAGTGAAGGCAGAGTGGATAAACCTTATGCCAGAGGCTTGGAATCCCTTCAAATTCCAACTGATTCGTAATAAGTTGGTTTCTGAAAAGAATTTGCTTCTGGGGGCTAAGTTTTACAGCTAGAGAAATTGGTGAACTGTGAGGGGCAGAAAAATAAGCGAGATATGCCATTTATAAGAGGTATATTTAGTAGAAGAGGAATAGCAACATCCCCAAATGTGGCCACTCTAGGTATTTTATAATTATATCACATTACAACTGGTAGCCCTTCCTGGTCCTATGAAACAGTTGTGGATAGTTCTGACATTTTATTGTTAATATTCTATGACCCTAACATGTGAAAATAAATGACAACAGAGTACCTCAATTGTTTTATAGTTCTCTTAAGTAGAGATGTCAAGGAACAAAGGACGAAGTTTGAGGAATCACTGAAGTGTTCCTTAAAGCAACAAGGCATAACTGGATGGTAGGGAAAGTTATGATGAAAGAGTCTCTTCTACAAATACATGACTGGAGTTGTTTTGAGCAAGGGCCTCATGCTGACCTCAGGGTAGAGACATAACTCTAGGCTCTTTCTGACCTCAAGTGAGAGATTCCATCTAAAAAGGTATTTTTATTTCTATCCCTTTGATCATAATCACCATCAGCCACAGCATCTTTAAAATAGAGGAAGATGTAATTTGATACAATTAAAAAAGTCAAATATGAAGGTGCTTTCTAGGCCACAAATGTGGTGAGTTTTGTTCAACAAAACTTTTACCACAAAATAATTCACACAGACTCCTAAGGCTTATTGAATAGGGGCTTCCACCCCTATTTCATTTTACTGTTTAAACATATATTGATTCATGCCTGCCATATGCGAGGTTTTGGTTTTAGTTCTTTTTTTAAAATTAACATCCAGTAAAATTAACTTTTTTTAGTGTATAGGTCTCAGAATTTTAACACATGTACAGGGGTGGGCAAAAGTAGGTTTATAGTTGTTTGTATGGAAAAAGACGTGGGTTATGATTATTACAATAGCTTTATTAACTCAAAAGAATGACACAGTGCACCTGTAAGCCTACTTTTGCCTGGCTGGGTGGCTCAGTTGGTTGAGCATCGCCCCATACACCAAAAAAGTTGCTGGTCTGATCCTCTGTTGGGTGCGTATGGGAGGCAGCTGAGGGATGTTTCGCACATTGATGTTTCCCTCCCCCACCTTCCTTTCTCTCCCTCCCT